AAGCCTGCAAAGCGGTGCAATTCAGTGGTGAGGTGCAGGTGGGGCTATGTGCGCGCACTGTCAAGAGCCATTTTCAGCAAAGAAACTCACCAACACACGTCCGATGCATACAGGATGGCAAAAAGCATCCATTTTGTCGAACAGCTCTGTTAGGATGTCTTGAATAGGTTTACATGTAAAGAAATTTGGCTCGAAGAAGGGAATTAGAAGTTATTTTTTAATAAAAGCAAAATAAAACTCAAGTTTGGGTTTTTTTGGAAATAACCACTACCTGATTATTGTCCTCGATGAACTCTATAATGTAGTATGCTTACCTGTTCGGAATACTTGTGTTTCTACTTAAAAATAGGACCCAAAAGGAAATTTTCGCGTTCGAAGAATTATTGTCCGCGACATTGTGACGCGGCCATTTTCGGCCATGTTTGGATTGCATGAGGTGATAGAGCTCTTCAAGAGCTACAACTCACACATTGTGCTTTCTGGAAAACATGCGTTCTAAAAATTTTAAAAATCTTTTTCTAAGAAGAGTCCGAAAATGGCCGCTTCACATTGTCGCGGACAATAATTCTTCGAACGCGAAAATTTCCTTTTGGGTCCTATTTTTTAGTGGAAACACAAGTAATCCGAACGGGTAAGCATACTGCATTATAGAGTTCATCGAGCACACTAATCAGGTAGTGGTTATTTCCAAAAAACCAAACTTGAATTTTATTTTGCTTTTATTCAAAAAATAACTTCTAATTCCCTTTTTCAAGCCAAATTTCTTCACATGTAAACCTATTCAAGACATCCTAACAAAGCTGTTCGACTAAAAGGGATGCTTTTTGCCATCCTCTATGCATCGGATATGTGCTGGTAAGTTTCTTTGCTGAAAATGGTTCTTGACAGTGCGTGCACATAACCCCCACCTGCACCTCACCACTGAATTGCACCGTTTGCAGGCTTATAGCTCGGCCGGCAGTCATTCTACAAGCCTGCATTTAGGCTCATTCGAAAGAGCGTGACTTTCTCTACACGATGGTATGCAAAAGAATTGGGTACGAGAAACAACAGAGATTTGGCGGATGGGGTGACAGACGCAGTTTCTGTGGTAGTTAAGGATTTTTCTGCAGAAGTTGAGCAAAGCTCCTTTTGCTACTAGTCCATTCTGGAAGTTCAAAACCGTCAATTTATATGTAATAGATCCATTTCGGAGTTCTATTCTGCCATTGATAAGAGCCTTCACTCCAATCACCTCTAAGGCTGCGCTCTGTCACCCCATCCGCCAAATCTCTGTTATTTTTGAAAGTGAACTCATTTGCATAACATCGTTAGAGAAGGTGACGCTCTTTCGAAGGAGCCTACACGCAGGCTCGTAGAATGACTGCCGGCCGAGCTATAAGCCTGCAAAGCGGTGCAATTCAGTGGTGAGGTGCAGGTGGGGCTATGTGCGCGCACTGTCAAGAGCCATTTTCAGCAAAGAAACTCACCAACACACGTCCGATGCATACAGGATGGCAAAAAGCATCCATTTTGTCGAACAGCTCTGTTAGGATGTCTTGAATAGGTTTACATTTAAAGAAATTTGGCTCGAAAAAGGCAATTAGAAGTTATTTTTTGAAAGAAAGCAAAATAAAACTCAAGTTTGGGTTTTTTGGAAATAACCACTACCAGATTATTGTGCTCGATGAGCTCTATAATGTAGTGTGCTTACCTGTTCGAATTACTTGTGTTTCCACTAAAAAATAGGACCCAAAAGGTAATTTTCGCGTTCGAAGAATTATTGCCCGCGACAATGTGACGCGGCCATTTTCGGACTCTTCTTAGAAAAAGATTTTTAAAATTTTTAGAACGCATGTTTTCCAGAAAGCACAATGTGTGGGTTGTAGCTCTTGAAGAGCTCTATCACCTCATGCAATCCAAACATTTTTCATCTTTGTTTTCCATCCGAAAATGAGCGATGAAAAAAGGAAGGCGGCTTGTCCGCATTTTTGGCGGTCACTGTATATCAGCTTTCCCATAACCTCAAGCTTTGGCTTCGAAAAAAGATGGTGTGTCGGCATTGAAAAGCTATTCTTCAAGTTTCGCAAATGTTTATTCAGGTAGAAACACATCACTTGCATGATTTTGTAACGTATGTAGGTTAACTTCAAACTTGAAAAAGGGGTCGAAAATTAGCGAATAGTTCTGTTTAAGGACTCGAATTCTATCTTATTATAGTTAGTGCGGCGATTTTGCTGAGACTGTGAAGTGCTTTCTAAATATTTTTTAGAGACCTTCTTGAATTTTAATACTGCTTAAAGGCAGTGTCCGGGCAAAAAGTCGATTTTGAGATTTTGTGCCTACTTGGGCCTATTTGCTATGCTGAAACCGAAAATCCACATTGGAGAGCGCGAAAACGCCGAAAAAGGGCTCTAATACTGGAGGGAAATCAGCAAGTGGGCGGGGTCTTCCCCACGGTGAATTCACGCTCCCAGCTTCGGGGGCGATCTTTTTGATTTCGGTTTCAAGTCATTCGTTTGCACTTGATCGGTAGTGATGTCAGGGCGGCTAACGGATTCGAGAAATTTCCTCTGGAAGCTGGGAGCGTGAAATCGCACTGGGGAAAGCCTCGCCCACCTGCCGATTTCCCTTCTGTGTTAGAGCTCTTTTTCGGCGTTTTCGCGCTTTCCAATGTGGATTTTCGGATTCAGCATGGCGAATAGGCCCGTATAAGCACAAAATCCTAAAATCGAGTTTTTGCCCGGACACTGCCCTTAACAGCTGGATCTTTGAGTGTTTTTACCAATTAACATAATAGACATTTGTAAGGAATTGTACGGAAGCCTCGTATGTTTCATAAATAACAACGGAATGGTCAGAAGTCCAAATGGCCAATCCATACAAGCTGCATACCATTAGACGCAGCATAAAACAATGACTCTAAAACTGTCTTCCTTATCTGCAGACCACTTTTGTTTATAAAATCATAAGTCGTTAAAGGCCATTATTTTGCTAAGAGATTGTGCGTGTAAAGTGGCCGTACAAAGCCATTCTCGGCTCAGTGTTGGACCAAAACATGCAACTAGGTCACTTGATATGGTATGACCCTACCTAGGGGTGAGCTGAAAGAGCAATAATGTGCTATCGCAGTAGAGCTGCTCATAACTTCGCCTACAAAGGCGCTCTGCAGATATGGAAGTCAGATTTGAAATCAGCATTCTATGCTGCATCGAAAGGTATGCAGCTTATATAGATTGGCCACTTCGACTTCTAACCATTCCCTTAAAGTTGCTAAGAATGCTTGTAGCTGATTTAAAAGAAGGTATTATGATGAATAATTTTGCTGGTCTCAGGAAGCTGCCAAGAGCCAAATAAGCTTTAGTTTGCAGCGTTTTGCATCCAGTCTTTTCATCCATTGACTGACATGTTATCAGCAAACCTTATAATTGTATCCTTCGACCTTTGCGCAGAGGTGATGTCATTATGTTAGTAGCATAAAGCGGCATGCGCCTGCGGCAGCGCATGCCGCTAGGGATGCTAAGAGGGAACCTACAAAACCGTATATATGGTCCTGTTGATTCCTCTTCAAGTTCGAAATGATGGGTGGTCCAAAAGCGATTGAAGGAAGAGTGAATTATCTTGTCAACAGTATCTTCTGCCTAAGCGATAGCTGTTCCTTCCTGCCCAAACCTTTTATAAAGGGGAGAAACAGTAGCATCGAATACACAGGAGCTGTTCACCGTTTAATGGTCTATGAGGTTTGAATTGACCTATGGAAATTGGTAGCATCAATTAAATTCTATCGAATGTAACAGGTTATGAACAGGAGAGAAAAAAAGTTGCTTTATCCACTTGTTATTGGGCTTCTTCGAAGGGTTGATATAAAAATTCCAAAAAAGTTGTGAGACTTGAGCATCTAAAGAAGCATGGATCGCAGATTTTGGTAATTTTCAAGTGCTCATCTGATGTGCTGCAATGAGTTTTCAATCATTAGGAAACGAATAAAATGCTGCATCGAATGCTACCGAGATCCCCCAGAGATCTCGTCTATAAAATGTGGTGCCCCCTTGAATAAAGCGAAATTACTTTTGGCATCACCAAATATAGGTTGGCGAGAGTTTGAACTAGATTCAAACGGCTTTCCAAATTGCGACTTCAAACTCGTGAATTTGTTATTCTAAAATAGAAGAAAGTTTGCGCGCATTAACAGATATTGAAGCGTAGCTTTTTTAGCTAGCCATGCCGAACGAGGCTTTCAAATATGGTGCCAGAGAATTTCGGAGAGTCACTAGCCATAGTTGGAACGAATACTCGTATTCAAATATTTTGTTTGAAAGAAAATAGATAGACATTCTCGAACATTCGAAAAGTCGAATATTCAAGAATGTTTATTTATTCAATTATTCGAATAGTTCGAATAAATGATACGTGTTTACTCGAATAATTCGTACAATCGACCACTCGGAAAAATGACTTATTCAAATGTTTGAATATTCCAAAAGACTGTTGTTTAAATATTCAATTACCTGAGAAGTTTTGTAAAACAGCTGTTTGAATATTCAGGTATACGTAGAAATAGTAATATTCGAGAATACTGAATTCGAATAATCGAATATTGCATGAGTATTTGAATATTGTGCGAAAATAGTCGAATATCCGATCAAGTCCGATTACTCGAACATCTGGAAGTTCGAATTTTCAAATGTGCACGTATTCGAATATTTGAATTCGAATAATATGGAAATCGAGAATTAATAATATTCGTTCATTCAAAAAATTTTCGGAAATCAATTATTCGATATTCGTTTCGGAAAAAATTTCCCTTCGTTACTCCTCATTTGGCAGTACTGATAATACTGTGGGCTGTGGGTGTCTGTCATACACCATATATCAATGGCCTCATCTGCTTGAACATTCTATAGTATACCACTCTGCAAGGCATCTCAGGCCAATCTTGGCTCCCCATTGTTAGAGTCGCTGTAATTTATAATGCTAAAATTTTTTGAAAACAATGGCCAATCTCTACCATTGCATTCATCTCAAGCCCGTAGTGATGGCTGCAATGTTAGACATTGCATCTCGGCATACAGCTTTTTCTGGAAGTCTCTCCTCTTTCCACCGCTCTTCTTTGCATTCACTTTAGTAACTCCAGCAACTTCTTTCCTTTTACCTGGTAGTATTTTTTTTAACAACGGAGCTTCCGTACCAAGGTCTTGATTCCTTGGTCAAGAAAAAGCGGCTGATCCGATGAGGAGGAATATTCGGTCTAAATACGACACAAGTAGATCAACCTTCGAGTAGAAAACCCCTACAAAGGTAGATCTCCAAATTTTTTGCCTAACTTGCCGTAGTATTGCCGGAGGAGCCAGACTCTGCATATTTGACCGGCGGAGAGGTGGGGATGGCATCACAGTTTCAACCATCTCATCGAGAGTAAGCGCCGATTGCTCAAGAACATTCCAACAACGAAGATGCTCATTTGAAATGACGTTTTTCGATATGGTGTACACTGCCTTGCGGGACATAAAATATTACCCAAATTGGACCGCAATCACACTTATCCGTTTTATTCGTGAAACCTGTAATTAACTGGTTTTCCCCATTGTTCGACGTGAACTTGTCGGCGAACATACCAAGTTGCCCAAAGTCCATTTTAATAAAGAAGTTTGAATATTGGCAAACGTGTATTCCTGATGATGATCTTAATTCAACGAAATTTCTCAAAACGTACATAAACGTCACGAGGCCTCTGCAATCTCCCCTTCATTGATATATGCAACATCTTCAGTGGTTTACGACGCTCTTCCGCCACTTTCAGCCAGCTGTCAGAAGATGTTGTGTTCACTCACTTCATTCGCCGTTCTTAAATATGAAACTTACGGGGAATATGAAGTGTGTAAAATGTACTTACAGGTTTTATTGAATCTTGTAAAGTACATTGCCTTCAGCTTCGCATCAATCGATTCTTAGTTATGATAAAAAATATTGCATTATACTCTTTACTCTTCGAGTACGAAATAATGCTTGCTGGAACCTTGCCACACAAGAAGCAATTCACCATTGTTTTCTGTAGCTAAAAACCATAGTTCCAAATCAGGGCTTTATGAAGTATCCCAGTGAGGACCAGATTCCTGAAGAATATGACTTCTTTTTTTAAGTGGATGAGTTTCAAATCAATATCTCCTTTCTTAGACAATTGACAGTGACGTTCATTGTTTCCAGTAAGTTGGAATAGACGAGACTCAACAAATGTCCATGATATTCAACTTCTGATAAAACACCTAAGTTTTTTTGACCGATGAGCTGATGAGCTGAACAAATACTGTGAGACGATATGTGATTCACTACAGACAGTCAACATCTTCAATTACAATATTTAAAACATCAACTACTCGTGCACTGAAATTGCATCACGCGTAAGGGAATATTGATCAGAGCAATTGATTGATACAGAGCTAATGACCTTGTTCTTTCATCATTCTACCAAATCAGCGGTTCGTTATCGAGTAGGCTTCTCCCTCTTAGGCTGTAACCATTATATTTGGTCTCCCCATAGTACAATCAACTACTTGCAAAGCTTCAAAAAGCGGAGCAGCTATTTCTACAATTAGAGAATGCAACGCAACAACTGCGGGTGCCTTCATACCGCGCCGGCAGCCGCCGCTAGCAGCCCGTAGCAGCCGCCAGCAGCCGCTAGCAGCCCGTAGCAGCCGTCAGCCGCCAGCAGCCCGTAGCAGCCCGTAACAGCTGCCAGCAGCCTATGGCAGCCCATAGCCGCCGCTGGCCGCCTTTGTTATAGAAACAAAATCGTCAAGATCTTACTATATGTGCTCCCGCCTACGCTTTTCATCTTCTACGCTTATTTCCTCTTATTACCGTTAATATGCAGTTTAACTCCCCCACAATATGTGTTCATTGTTCTGTTCCGCACATTGCATCCTGTCGCGCTCACATTCTTTTGCAATCTGTCTTATTTGAAAAGATGAGCGATTATCAAAGCCAGTAGAACTCAACCCGCAAATGAATCCCTGCGAACTTGCGAAATAGTAGAATGCAAGTTAGATATGCATCGATAGCCAAGAAAAAATTGAAGCAAAAGCATACTTAAAAAACAAATTGCACATCTGAACCGGACGCATCCAGAGTCAGAGCGAATTACACCGGAAAGAATCTTATGCGAACTGGTTCAACAGATGACCCTACGGCGAGAAGGTAATGACAACAATGGACACATATATGCTATGCGGTCAAACTGCGTACTGAGGGCAACAAAAGAAAAGCATAGAAGATGAAAAGTGTAGACAGGAGCAATCAAAGTTGTAAAATTGATAAGTTTGCTTATATAACGAAAGCGGCCAGCGGCGGCTGCCGGCGCGGTATGAAGGCACCCTGCGAGAGCGAAGTAACTAACGAGAGTAATTGATCAGAATTTTCTCACCCTAGTGTAAGCGCTGGATCTGCGGTGTAGTACTTTTGTGCAATGCAAATGTTAGCGGGATGATGTTGTATAAATTGCGAAGCGCTTAGCACTGACAACTATCGTTCTATGCAGGGTAGTGGTAAATTTTCGCTATAAAGGGAGTTATCAGTGTTCATTCAATGGAACGTTTATAATCCATATTTTGCACTGTCACTAAGTTGGTAGAGATTCTACCTTAACCAACGCATTCACCGTCTGCATTGCAGGTATCTGGCGCTGCAAACAATAACAAAACAAAAGCAAAGCACTTTTGTTACCGCTAAAGCCTTATGTTGGCCAGCAAGCAAAATTACACACAGGGCTTATCAATTGTAATGTCGTGGGCAGCAGCGTCTCCACTCCTGCGCGGAACTTTGCTCTTCCGCGAACATGCTCTCAATTTATCCAATCGATCGAGGCTCCGCCCTTTCCCACGCTCTCGGTGGGAAAGTGATCGGAGAGCATGTTCACTAAAGAGATCCAGGCGCTGTGGCGGCATTCTCGCAAGCTTTCCGCGAGAATATGCAAAATTCTTCAGGGCCGCATGGTCCTTTGTGAAGGAGCGCACAGCCCGTAGGTAGTTTCCGTCAAGAGAAAGTACCCCAAACTCGGGTAATTAAACCACTGGTGATACCTCTGCCATGTAGAATGTTACCTTCCCTCGGCCGAAATTGCTTAGCAAGAGTCAGAGCGGCGGCTGAAAATTCGGCCGGCGGTTGCTGAAAGGAATTACTTGATAACCGCTCGCAGAAAATTCTGTATTGCTGCCCACTGGCAGAACATGCGACAGCAGAGGAAGTACCGCTCGCTAAAGGTTTGCCCAAGTCCCAAAATTCTGCTGACAGCTTGCAGAAAAGCGCGAATTTGCGGATCGCCTGCCCCCGGCGATTGTCTGAGCGGAATGGCCTCGCGGAAGCAGAGATGCTGGTGCCCCGACACTTCAGTTGATAAGTCCTGTACCTACAAGTGTTTTTCAAGAAAGGTGTACATTTGTTATTCTAAAAACTCTTACAGCAATACAGAAGTGGCTTGAGCCTTTTGATGGTTATCTCATTGATAAGCAAATCATTACAATACAAGAACGCCATTGAAAATTAGCACACGGATAGAAATCGACTCGTTGGAATGAAGATAGCTCGTGTCTGTCAGTGCCTCTAGTCGATACTATTCTAAACAAAACAACACCGAAAGATCTTCAAAGATATTTGAAGATAAGCGTAAATCGAACCTTGCTTGCATGAAACATTTGTTTTGTTGTCTTCAACTTTTGCATTGTCGTCATCTTCATTTGTTTTGTCGTCTTCAGTTTTTGCATTATCGTCATCTTCATTTGTTCTGTTTTCTTCAATTCCTGCGTTGCCGTCATCTTCATTTGTTTTGTTTTCTTCAACTTCGGCGTAGTCGTCCTGTTCATTTGTCCTGTTATCTTCAACTTTTACATTATCGTCATCTTCATATGTTTTGTTGTTTTCTACTTCTGCATTGTCGTCACCTTCATGTGTTTTGTAGTCTTTAAATTTTGTATTGTCGTCATCTTCATTTGTTTTGTTGTCTTCAACTTCTGCATTGTCGCCATCTTCTCCTTCGCTTGAACTCTCGTCTGTAGCTTCTGATGAATCAGAAGCAGCACTATTAGTGACTGATGGTTGTCTTACAGGCGACTCTGGAAGAGCTGCGTGCGCGCAAAAACCATCAGCATGTGCCTTCTTCTTTGCCTCCCTGTCCTTCTTAGACATCAGATCTTCTAGTCTCAAGGACACCGTTTTCATGTAAATCTTTCCCTTCTGATATTCATACGGAATGACTGTTGGTGGAGGAGCACTTCTACCTGTAACGTCTTTTGCAGCAATCACTCCTATTAACAAGGAAGTAAATCGAGCATCATGATAGAAAGAAGTCCAGCGTAGGAAATTTTTGGACGCCATCCTGCAGAATCGACCGTAATAGCGGTCACGCTTGGTCAAGCTGCATGTCAAACCAGCCCACTCGGACCACTTCTTGACGTTTGTTTGCGGACTGTCGAGATATGCGTATAAAAAGGAAGTCAACAGATTTCGCCACATGTTCGAAAACGTGTCATTGGTTGCGACGGCGCGGATGAGGCGGGGCACGCTGGTCATCGTTGATACAACTAACAAGTAACTTGTAACTGACAGGCCAGCCCACTCCCACCTGCTTGCAAACCATTTTTCAGTGGCTCTCCAGTGCGAACGAAATTGAAAAAAAGACTCAGCGACCGGCCAGAACAGTGCGTATCCGTATTATACTTGGGTCCGAATCGAATAGAAATTCGATCATTCGAATAAAACATTCGAATATATTCGATTCGAAAATTCGATATTCGGAGTTTTTCCACTTTCGAATAATATTCGAAACTCGAATAATTGAGTAGACGGGGTTTCGAATAAAATTCGAAACTCGAATAATCAAAAAACAGGATTTCGAATAAAATTCGAAAACTCGAATAATCAAAAAACGAGGATTCGAATAATATTCGAAAACTCGAATAATCGAAAAACGGGTTTTCGAATAGATTTTATTCGAATGTTTTATTCGAATGTTTATTCGAATTCGTATTCGAATGAACTCCGTATCCAAATTATTCGAGTTTGTTGCAGAGCCAACTGTGAGTACTAAGCTCGCTTCGTTTTCGTATTTTTTTTTACAAGACCAGGTAATGCATCTTTTTTGCAACCGTAACGACTTTTGAACTGTATGGAAAGTCGCATTCCTCCGACTGCTTGCGACATTAAAAAAATAAATGAGGATTTTAATTGATGCTTTTTCTATCAATGAGTTACAGATGTCTTCAGATGTAACGCCAGCTCACCACTGATGTATAGCGTGTGCAAGCCTTATTTTTAAATTTCAGCTCCAACCAATTTCATTTGCTGCTACTCTGCTAAACTGCCCTTGAAATGTAGTGGACGCCGATTGATTTTATCGATTTTTGGGAAACTTTGAGCTACGGGGCTGGGAGTTGGTACAGGGGGGTAAGTGAGGGTGCTGATTATGAGCTACGGAGCTGGGAGTTGGTACAGGGGGGGGGATAAGTGAGGGTGCTGATTATGAACAAAACTTTTGTATATCGATTTTATCGATTTTTGGGAAACTTTGAGCTACGGAGCTGGGAGTTGGTACAGGGGGGTAAGTGAGTGTGCTGATTATGAATAAAATTTTTGTTTATCGATTTTATCGATTTCTGGGGAGCTTTGAGCTACGGAGCTGGGACTTGGTACAGGGGGGGGGGGTAAGTGAGAGTGCTGATATAAACAAAATTTTTGTTTATCGATTTCACCGATTTCTGGAAAAGCTTGAGCTAGGAGTTGGTGTAGGGATATGAGGGTGCTGATTATGAATGAATCGGTTTTAGCCAGAAATGTCAGCAAGTTTTAGATATGTTGCAGTAGTTATTCGAAAAATCATTCGAATATCTATTCGATATTCGACTCCCAATGTTCGAATATATTCGATATTCATTCATTCGATATTTTTGATTTTCCGAATTTATTCGAAATTCATTCATTCGAGTTTTTTTAATTTTCGAATTTATTCGATATTCGTTTATTCGGGTTTTTTTCATTTTCGAATTTATTCGATATTCGTTTATTCGAAATTTTTCATTTTCGAATTTATTCGATATTCATTCATTCGATGGAAAATTTTCGAATTACCCAAGTATAATCCGTATGCCTGTAACTCGGACTTCAAAAACTCGAATCCGTCCTCTGTCATTGGTGGCAAATTGGTTAATTTTGACCATGTTCCGATTTCGGTGTAGTTCTTTGTGTAGTGACTGTACACGTCTTCAGCCAATTGAGGAATAAGTCGAAAGGTGTACGCGGCCAACAGTAATGCTGCATCCCAATTGCCTGTAAAGATTTCGGATACTGTACTGATAATTATGTGTGATTGTTGCGCCTTAAGTGAAGGGTAAAGCTCGCTTAAGATAGCCTGCAAGGCAACTTCTGTCGTCTCCCACTTTATGGCCGCAAGCTTCGCCAGTAAATGCATTGCGGAGCTCCAGAGCGGAGACTTAGAAAACTCTAGCTTTTCTCTCATCATTTGATGCATGGATCCTGCCTGTACAATATCAGCCTGTTCAATTACATCTCGACCCAAAAGTAGTCCGTCCTGTGGATCGTACGCTAGGTTGGCTGTAGTGGTAACATACAGCCACCAAGATGCCGCTGGCAAGCGCGGGTTGATTTTGTAATTTCCTGTAACCACGAGCATAACAGCTACCGTTGCCTTCAGAGTCTGGACAACGTCGTCTAATTCCCTTTCTACGCGTATCTTCCGTGCGGTAGGTATCGGCTTCACGTCAAATTCGATGTCCCATTCCGACATTATAGGTGATGGCTGCACTGCTTGTTTGTTATAGGCAAACGTTCCCTCGGTATTAGCACTGTAAACGGTAGCTTGAACAATGTTGAAAATGTATTTGTGCTCAGCAGCAACACGTGCGTGTTCGAGCGTGAACCACAGTGGCGTGTCAGTAGTGTTTACAAAGGTGCATTTTTCGCTACTCGTGCCTTGGTCCTGTAACATGTCAGTCATCAGTGTATAAGGAAAGCAGAGATCTTAACCAAAACTAAAGTCCTAATAATGATCAAGTTAAGCTTTACAGATTTCGAACGAAGTCATCTTACCGCAGTCGTAATCTCGATAACTCACCTTTGCACGCACTTTTGGCATCTCTTATGATTGCGAAAGCACCCTAAACTTGTGAGGCTAAGCAAATCATTCCCATTACTAAAATATCGACATGCTTGTTGGTACCGCTATATCGTGAGAAAATCAGAAAGATGGATAACATAGAAATCGAAATATACGTAGAGAGAAAGTTGCATGCGTTATATTCAAGCAGGTCAACTACAGCATGAAAGATGCGCCACCACGGGAACGCGTCACCATTCCCAACGTAGGGGCTGCTTTATGCTTCCTTTTTTGTCTCTTATTGCCGACTGACCGCAGCAGACTGCAGCAGACCGCATTGAAAAACGAACATGCTACGGCCGCAGCGGCATTAGCATGTTTGAGTAAAACAAAAGGAAATTTTACTGGAAAAGAAAAAATTGAAACTTTTAATTTTCCTAGACGTCATTTGAAGTCTCCTAGTCGTGATCGAGGTCATCCTTTTTTTGAGTGAATATGTGCGGCCGCTGCAGTCAGCTGCAGTCTGCTGCGGTCAATGCGGTGGTGTGAAAAGCCTATATCGTAGCGCTGACCGCACTGATCGAACTAACCGAAATAACTGCGTTACCATTTTGCCTGTAATGACTGCGGCAGCCGCTGCAACAGTGCCGCCTGAATGTAAACGAAGAAGAGTGGTAGCAGAAATCTCACAACACTTCAGAATACAACTGAGAAAGTCTATCTTCGTATTTACCATTCAAAAGATTTTCGCCTTGCTTTTTGTCGCTGTGTTCAATAATGATCTAAATTCTTAGCTTATTATCCAAGTGGTATTCTTGCACGATACACAGGGTGCCCCAAAAGGAAGTACACACTTTTCAATCGTTAATATCTCTCTTCCCATAGTGTCTTTTTTTGCCACTCAAGTACTGTTATGTAGAGGAAGCTTCAACTTAGATCTTCAATATCGCGCGAATCACCGATCGCTCTCCATTACTGTAGGATTACTGTAGGAACTTCGACAAGGATTTTAGGCCAGGGAAGACATATTCTGCCTCGGAACAAAACCAAACAAGCTAAAAACTCTTACACTATGGTAATGGAAGCCGCTGATTTCGAATATGAAACTTTCTCTTTACTGTGATGCTTCTTTCCAAAGTTATTCCAGGTAAAGCGTAATAACCGGATTCTCAGTGTTTATCAGAAATGTGGTTACACCCTCAAAAGAGCTGAAAACACCTGTAAAAAGCTGTGTAGTGTAATCAGCGTGCGCGAAAACCCCAGAACGCGAATTTTCACACTTTTTGAAAATTTTTTTCTCAGATGGCATATTTTACGATGATTCCACATGCCGGAAGTTCTTGCTGTAATCCTACAGTAACGAAGAGAGATCGGTGACTCGATCGATGCCATAAATCTAAATTGAAGCTTTCTCTACAGAACGGCACTTGAATGACAAAAAAGACCTATTGGAAAGAGAGATATTGACGATTGAAAAGTGTGTACTTACTTTTGGAACACCCTGTATATTTGAGTAGATGTGCTATGTTTGCTGTCTTTCTTTGTCAAATACTAGGCTGCTACATAATTTTTGTCCGTTTTGCAACTTTTAATTTGATGTTAGGTTGTCCCGAAAGTTCTACCGTTTCATTTTTGAAAATTTGCACCTTTTCGTTATCACGACGGATTTACTTCCATTTGACTTTGTTGAAAAGAAAATCCTTTTTTGTAAATGCTTCATGATTTCCTACTATACAATCATAGCATTGATGAAAATGAAAGAGAAGAAAACTATTCAGGCTTCCACCATTTCGAGTTTGATCTCCTAAAATCGGGATCGTTGTGAAAAAACTGGATTCGTACATCATAAGCTGGAACCGCCAGTAAATAGGTATAATGACCTGCTTTTGCAAAAGAAGAAAATTTGTACCGTTCAGAAGTTTCTAAGAGAAGTAATGAATTTTGAGTTTTTGATAGAAAAGTCAAAGTTAGTTGATTTGTCATTTTCTTGAAAATCATAACTTTTCATATTTCAGCTTCAAACAGTAAGTTATAGAATTTACATACCGATGATTTCAGGTTTCTTCGCAACGTTCCAGATTTTTCGCAACCTGACTTGTATGACCAAAGTTTGAAAGATCTTGTTCTAAAATTTTTCTCCTGAGCGTGTAGCACCCCATCAAGGTATGCTCACAAAAAGGAAAACTTCCCTTTTCAAAAAATTACAAAAAAGCAAATCCTTTGAGACAGCAAAAGTTGCAGATTTTCAAAATGAAACGACAGAAGTTTCGACAATTTTTCGACAAGATTGAGCAAAACTTAGTTTTGGCTATCAAATAATTAGTTCAATGCCTATGAAGAGCATTACTGGAGAGGAGACCAGGAGTTCAAAAATTTGCATCGTTTCCTTCATACGTGTTTTTTTTGACAATGATAATGCTTTCTTGTAAAGACTTGCAAGCTCAAATTATGTTGGCTCGAAAGTTCTCGGACATTTTCAGACGAGATCTGCTATTTCTCAAAACTTAATGCATATACATCCGGCAGCGGTAACATTCGATAGAGCAAAGCAAGCTCTACAAGATGTATGCAAAAATTCGCACCAGCTTCGACCCACCGTAGGTTTTCATCCAGAATCTGAGTCGTACTGAAGGCTTCAAAAAGTGGGAAAAATTCACATCTTTGTTCATATGAATCCTATGGATCTCCAAGCTGCTCATGCAAATTGCGCACCACATCAAACTCTCATGGGTACCGTTTCTGTTTTCCTCCTCTAGAAATCGAAAAAGCGAAAGTTTTCATGCTTATACAAAAAGGAAGCTACGCAGTTTATACTTGTGTTATTGTATAGTATTAGGTTGAACAAAGTTCTTTCGCACCAAATTCAAAAATTCTTAACTTCTAAAATTTCCAACCGATTTGACTACCTTTATTTTTGTATGGAAGAGCAAGTCATGCTCTTTATAATGACTACTTAGCTGCTTACTAATAGTCATCTTTTGCATAGGTAAGAGCGATAGAACAAAATTAGTCAAAATTCGGATTTTCTGTGTAGGGTCATAAAAAACCAAAACCTGCAGAAAATCAGAGCAGTCGGTATTGTAGGTTATTTCACCAGCTCTTTCTAACAGTGCAAAGTTTGCGCCGATTGAGCGTCTCTATGAAAAGTTATGATTTCCCTGAAAAATGAAAAAATAAATCAAATTCGCCATTTTCTATTGTGCTCGAAATTCGTAACTTTTCATAGAAACGCTCAATTGGCGCAAACTTTGCATTGTTAGAAAGAGCTGGTAAAATAACCTACAATACCGACTGCTCCGATTTTTACTGCAGGTTTCAGATTTTTTATGACCTTACACAGAAAATCCGAATTTTGATTAATTTTGTTCTATCGCTCCCATCTATGCAAAAGATGACCATTAGTAAGCAGCTAAGATGTCATTATAAAGAGCATGACTTGCTCTTTATAATGCCAGCGAATAGCGAAAATTACCAAACTGAGCTCCCTTCATTTGGGTGATCCATATCAAAATCAATAGTTTTCGAAAACTGGGGCTTGCGGAAAGCTAAGATACTGTTATACTTCTAAGGGCTTGTAGTACACAATTACATGGGTAGAAACAGCACAGTTTCGTTTTTGCATGAGCATGAAAATTTACGTTTTCTTATTTTCTAGTTGAGAAAAAAATACAGCAGTGATACATATGGGTGCCAGATGTGGCGTGCAATTCGCATGAGCAACGTGGAGATCCGTAGGATTTATTCGAACGAAGACATGGATTTTTCCCATTTTTTGAGCCTTCAGTATGACTCAGGTTCTGGATGCAAACCTACGGTCGAAGCTAATGCAAACTTTAGCATACCATCTTGTAGAGCTTGCCTTGCTCTATCGAATGGTATCTCTGTTGGATGTACGTGCATTAAGTTGCGAGAAATAGCAGATCTTGTTTGAAAATGTCCGTGAACATTCTAGACAACCTAGTAGGCCTTTCCGAAGGTTCTTTGCATTTTTACATTTAAGAAAACACGTGGAACAAAGATAGGCAAGAGCAATCACTATTCGACGCGATTTTGTTTCCTCTTTCAAGCAGTCAAACTCCTGTGATGTTTGTGTTTACTCCTGTGATAATTGTCGCCATTTCAAGCCCACAGTTTTCAATATATCAATTTTGCTCATTTTCCAGGTTCCTTATAAAATTCTGAAAAAGTTTTGATAACATACAGATAACTTGAACAAAGTGTAGTACAATGCAATCCTCTGGCACTTGTAGCCGTCTTCTCAAAATTTTTACAACAATATTTCTAATGCTGTCATATTTTATTTTTGGTGATTTTAAAACGCATCGAAGGGCGCAAAACTAACAAGAGCTTTTAGTGCTGCCTAATCAAATGGAATTTATAGCATACTGAAGGACATAAAATGCTGATTCCAAGCTTGCCTTCCACATCTGCAGACCGTTAGTGTTATGAGCGTTTTTGGAAGCCAAAAATTGAATGTGCATTTTGAACAAAATGAGTTGCTAAAATCTTACTGGCCTCCAAATAATGCAACCAAGTGTGATATAATTTTTATTTTGGCGTATTTTTTGAACAAAATGCTCTGATGATTATCACTGCTCCATTGAAGAGCTAGAAAAAGTATTACGGCTGTTTTTGTTCTACTTGCACATTCATTTCTTGCTCAATTAAGCGCTCATAACCCTCGTCAGACGCTCTGCAAATAAGTTTGAAATCAGTATTTTATGCCCTTCAATATAGTATACATTACATCTAAAAAGGCCACTTCAACTAACCATGCTTCCCTTGTAAGATGGCATTCAATGCAGCTTTTTCCCACTTTCTGCTAGACGTTTTTCTCCCCAACTCGTGCACTCTGTGGCAAAAAAATTATCACAGATCTTGATTTGTTCTCTCTTCGAGAGATATCTCCGTTGCGAAATTTGTTATTACGAAGCGGTAAGCGCTCATTTGTTAGTTCGTGAAAGCTTGAAACGCTGACTCCAACTCTGCTTTCCCTATCTGCAGAGCCCTATTGGGTAGGCGAAAAAATGAAGAAACTGCTGCGATAAAACCAAAATCGGACTCTTTAGATGTCAAATAAAGAAATGGAAAGTATGGGCATAATAAGCGAAAGGAGTTCATTGTACAAAGCGTCCTGAGACTTGTCATTGTTTTGTTTGAGGCCTATAGAGGTTGTGCCTATATTGTTCTAACAAGCTTCAACTTAGCTTCCCGCGATTTAGATGCATCCGGAATGGGGTTGCACAAGTACAGCCATTAACATTATCATTACTTATAATAACAGGCTGTTTGCGTGTTTTTGTGTGTGTAATTCTGTCTGTCCGTTCAAATTTTGCTTAAACATATGGTTTCAGCATGTGAGCTCACAATGCAAAAGCACAAGCGAAACCAATGCGCGGATTCTTGGAAACTCGTGCGTCAAACTGTTCCACACATACTTTGAACCGCCAAACCGGGTTCTCATACAAGCTTTTTGCCAAGTTATTGCTTTGTTTGGCATGTGAATTCGAAAAGTATCAGTTTTGAGTTACAAAACAATTCAAAAGTTTACTCTCATGCGACAACGTAGCCAAAAAAGTGGCAGCTGCTCATGTCTTCAATATTCTATGTTTCTACTCAATGAACTGAGGAGATCTTTCTTCAAAGATGTAGCTCTTGATAGTGGGAGGCGGTCAAGAGGCGAGATTTCTGTGACTGTCAACAATTTAAAACCTCAGTTTGGTGTTATGCGGGATCTTTAAAAAGTACTAGATAAAGTGCATAGCTTACTAATTGTCTGAAATTACCACTTACTGAGTTTGGTGGCATTTGCTGGGACCGAAATACATATTTGCGAATTTGCACTCAACTGCATTTTCATGGGGTTTTGATCTCAAAATTGCTGTTTTGAATCAGTTTAAGGTGTTAAGGCTGAACAACCCATGCAACTATTTAATATATCTCCTTCTAAAATTTGAATAAATTTAGAAAGTTATAAAACACTTATTATGTACTGTTTGGTATCCAACTGGCAATAATAATTGCGCCTCTTAACATACACCCCTTGATAATTATTCTTTATGGTGTCCAACTCTTAGGTGGTTAATAAAATAAAATTGCAGTAAATTTTCTGAAAAGTAGTTAATAAAATTGCAGTAGACTTGCTGAAAATGCACTTAATGCAAATACAAAATGCAAAATATGCACGTAAACCCTATTTAAAGGCAGTCTCAGGGTAAAAGGTCGATTTTGCAATTTTGTGCTTACCCGGGCCCATCCGCTACGCTGGATCCGAAAATCAACACGAGAGCGCAAAAACGGCGAAAAAGGGCTCTAACCAGGAGGGAAATCAGCAGGTGGGCGGAGTCTTCCCCATTGGGAGTTCACGCTCCCAGCTCCAGGTACGATATTCTCACTTCCGCTAACTGCCCTAACATCGCCACCTGCTATGTGCGAACGCGTGACTTGAAACCGGAACAGAGAAGATCTCCGGAAGCTGGGAGCGTGAATTCACAGGGGAAGACTCCGCCATCTGCTGGTTTCTCTTCTGCGTTAGAGCCCTTTTTCTCCGTTTTTGCGCTCTCCAATGTGGATCTTCGGATTCAGCATAGCGAATAGGCGCGGTTAAGCACATAATCCCAATATCGACTTTTTGGCCGGACACCGCCTTTACATTGGCAAATTGCAAAAACGTGATTCTCTCAGGCGTTTACGCTGATTTGGTTACAGTCACTGTTCTCTTTTTGCATTCAGGCTGCAATTGTTGCTGCGGCTCTGCAGTCAGCGTAGTCAAAATGACTAGTGCGGTGAGTTTTAGTTTGATCAGTTTGATCGGTAGGGTCAATGCTGCAGTACAAAACAACCCTATGCCAAATGTCTTTCACAAAGAAGACCACTTGAAGGGGCGGCAACCATTGGATTATGTGTTTAGCCGTTGAATGTGTCATGATCATGCTGGGTATGCTTACAATGAACATTTACGTCGTAAGTCCTGTTAAAGTTTTTTTTCATTCACCAGCTCTACGAAGGCACTCGACTAATTCGTCAGCAGGGGCAAAGCAAGTAGAGTAAAACAGACAAATTAAGTTTCTCAAAGTTTTCCAAGAAATCAGGATGTAGTGCAGATTGTGGCAACAACTTGACTACTGGTGTTTTGGTTTTGTCTGCATTGGACGTCTAGGTACTCTAGTACAGTAAAGTTGGACTCATATTGTTTACCAATTAAGAATATTATTAATCGCTCTTCCTTACTAAAAGGCAATCGGAAGTCGTTGGCTTTGAATATGAGGTTTCCATCTCACATTATTTTTCAAAAGCTACACCAAATATGGAGTAAAAGCTGTTTTAATGTGCCTTCATTATGTCATTTAACCTGGCGAAAACTTCGTAATGACTTTTGGCTACAGCTTTACGTTCCAAAAGCTTTCTTAGATAATACTTATCGGGTTGTGGAAAGCGTGTTATAACCTAAAATAGGTATAAAAACAAAAGAAGATTGTCGAACATGAATTAAGATAGAAGGTAATTCTCATGAGTTGACATACTTGTAAAGCAATAATTTAGACTATTGCATTGTTAGGCGATATGTGCAGAACCACGACAAAGTACAACATTCACCTTGCAAGCGACATTTCACCACTTTTATACCAGCAAATCCGGCAGGCTCATAACTGGCAGTTTCAAATATAACCATGGTGGGCGCAAGTTGAGTGACAGCTACAAGCATCTGACTGCCAGTCAGCATCATACAACGATCTCTTCAAAACTGCCCATTACATTAAAGATCTCATCAGAAGGAGCTCTCGTGATATAGTCCTTTCTCAAAATGCTCACTAAGCTAGTGCTAGTTGGTGCTAAAATATCAAATTGTGGGTATTAGCCACGCATTACATGCTTGCTTAAGAGACCGTTCACCACTCCAAGCCCACAAGGGAGAACATGATCTGTGAGCTCAAAGATAAATTTCGCAAGCTAGGTATTTTAAATTAACGTCTAAAAAAATGAAGACGTGATTTTGCCACGCACAAGATGTGTGAGTGTTTACAGTTGTATCGCAATGAAAACTAGTCTAATTATCTTTTTTTCAACGAAATCTGCTCTTAGTAAGGCTCACACACCAAAACACTGGCAGATAAAAGATGAACGCCTCAAAATAGCAGGGTTGATGCGCAAGGAATCTCTATTCAAAAGAAACAATGAAAAACTCGCTGCCGCTTACCAGTCTACTGATAATGAGACGACTTTTGCAGCAAATTCTTTCCGAAGCTTCTAAGATCTCCATTTGCAGGCAAGGATATGGGGTGTTTTAGAGCTTACTCCTAGTCTGCACTTGTCTAACTTTAACCCCCGACAGCTACAAAATTTGGCATGATTAGTATTAGGTTGTTGCAAAAATAATGTCCGTTTTGCAAATTTTGACTTTGAAAGGCTATAACTTCGTTCAGTCTTCATGTTTTTGAATGCAGTTAAGACCTTTAGAAAGAGCAAACCTTTTGTAACTTAGCGCGCACCTGCTCATACTGATATCACATACGGGAAGAAAACCATGCGTCAGAAAACTGAAAGATTTTCTTTTGAAAACCTCGTCTTCAAGAGCTTACAGCTCCCTTCAAGCTTTGTCCCTAAGACTGCTAATCAGCTTATTATGTAGCCGCAGGCCAGTAGTATACGTGTGTGTAGAAAGAACTCCAACAAAGGAGTTGTGCGAAAAGAAAAGATAAAAATTCAAAAATGTTCACTTTTTTGAGCCTATTTATTGTAGGCTTGTAAGTGCCAGATTATGAAAATTTGGGGTTCTTCGCGCACTGAGTACCTAAGTTTTTCTTCAAATATTGTAGTTAAGGTGTGCTAATCTCAAGCTTACACAAATGGACGAAGCTTTGGCGATCGCCTTAATCATGAGAAATTGCTGGACCCATAGAATGCCAGCAGCGACTGTCTATTTCGAAGCGTCAATTTCTCAGTCCCGATATCTCCAAAAGTTTACATAAACACGCAGTAGGTAAACAATCTTCATCCAATACATCTGCTATGTTTTCAGAAGAATTCGTTTATTTGCTCCTGAATTGTAGTCAAGAGAGTGAAAGCTATGAAATTCTGATCTTGAGTGCCGATGAGAAAAATGCTGGTGAAGTTCTCACAGATGAGGATAGCAGCTTAATTCCACCACTGCTAGAAAGTACATGAAGAGAGCTTTTCAATGATATGCAGATGCTACTTTGAAAAAGAAAGTTTGATGGAAAAAAAGTTGTTCGAAATGTAGGCCTAGAAAAACGGACATTATTTTTGCAACAACCAATACAATCTTATATTGACTGCTAACGATATCCAAGGTTGAGGATTTGAGCGGCGTTTCTGCATCTCCTCTCACATTTCCGCATCTCCATCCTCTACTTTCACCACTTCGATGCAAATTAACAGCTTATAGAGCCAGATGCAAATGAGAAACGTATATTAGCGCTTACCTATAGTCTTGCGCTCAAAAGTAAGCGATCATCTAGAGTAAATACCCAAAATTATTCAAATTACTCCCCGCTGTCGACTCGATTCCGTTCCCCGCAAATTGCAATCTACTGACAATCCAAACATAATTCTTTCTCTTTCAATCATATAGTAGAAGACAATGCAGAGTACTGATCAGAAGAGTGTAGTATGTTATAAGTAGATTTTTGTCCGGGAGAGCCCAAGAGACTCAACACTTCGCTTCTGGAAACTCTAAACAAGATTCTCGCTCGACGGAAGATTTACCATGATGACATTGCAATTTCTCTTCTCAACGACGAGATATTCTTGTAAGCGAGTGTGATGTTTACATCTATCAATTTTGAAGTAAAGCGCTCAGTGTACCTTTCTCCACTAAGGTTTGGTTACGCTCTACCTACAACCAGTACCATCATCATTTGCAATGACAGAGATTTGTCATGAACAGCATTTTGTAGGCGCTGTCTACTACATATAGTGTAAGATCATTCATTGCCACCGATCATTGGCTATAAACACGCAGTTTGATCTTGTAACTATTTAAGCACAATTCTAAGTACTACAGAATGCCAAAATATCGTAAAAACAGCAAGTCTGTCCACTGGATTGTACACTTATAAGCATGACGACTTGTAGCAGGGGTATTTCAGAACTGTTGTGCCTTGGAGATTCTTAAGATTTCAAAGGCACTGGCCCCTTTGTCTGATCGACATCATCAAATGGGAAGAATGGGTGACCGAAAGCACTGTAAGTATGCACGTCTAAATTTGTTTTACAACCTTCGATTCTTCTACTCACAAGTTCCAAGTGCTAAACCTCAATCTAGTTTTTACTGAAGCAAGCTTCTGCATATCCACAGGACTGAGACGGAAGTCGAAAATGTTGATGTTTTCTTTTGCACTGAAATTACAAACAATCTGATTGGCTTGATGTGAGTTGATCGACTGAAATTTGTTGCGTTGTCAAAACAAAGCTTTACAAAAAAAAACAAATGAAAAAGCCATTCCTCTTACCGTTCAGGCTTGATAGCTTTCGGAATGACAGCAACGCCTTGTTGGACAAGAAAGCGCAACAGTATTTGAGCTGCAGTCTTGTTATATTTATTAGCAAGTTCCTTTACAATGGGTTCCTTCAGTGGTTCCTCTGCTGGCCACTTCACATTCGGCATCGCTAACTAAAATGCAAAGTCTGCATGCTGTTTAAACAAATTCTGAGCCAAACGTTGAGTTGAAAATAAATATATCAAAATAATGGCGGAAATTAGCATCTATCGACAGTTGACACTTATGAGACGTTGCGCGTCTTCTTTAGTGATTGCATCAGATCGATCTTTTTTTTAAAGTTTACCAGGCGGCTTGATTCATGCGCACACGAAAACTTGTTGTTTAAATGCGTATTGGTCAGCCTCTTTCGTGTAAATTTGAAAAACCTCACCCTTGCCCCTGACGAACCTAAGGGGGCATAAGCCGTAACGGTGACGTTTTGTTCCCTGCAAAATTCCAGGAGGTCCAATTGTGGCAAATAGATATGACATTCGACCTAAAACTATAACAGGTGTTGGTAAGCGCGTGCGTTATACTCCGTGGGAAGTACGCGCCAAAAATAGGCCTCCGTCTCAAGGTGGAATTACAGTTTCGTTGCAGTGAGTCGCAAAAGTCTCACTCCTTTTTCGGGCCGCCTTATAACACTTTCTATAAAATCAGTCATCTTCACCTTGAAAATAGACTGTGAGCATCGTTGTTAGCTGCTGAACAAAAAGTTCAACTAACGATAAGTCTATTGCACACCAATGCATACTCAGTGGGAAGCTTTCATGAGTGAAACAATACTTTATGAAAAGGTGTATTTTTGGGATGCAAAAAAACATCGAAAATCTTTGTGGACGAGCTATGTACCTTTTTCACGAGACGTCAAAATTGAGCTTAACTTTTTATAAAACAAGTCGTTCGCACAATTTTATGAATCGTGCTACTTATAAGATTCGCGATGCATTGGCTTGTAAGATTGTCGATGCGGAGAGAATTAGAATCGCTGTAGCATTACGGGCTTCAGGTGATATTCGTTCTTGTATGTTTACCGAAATTTGGCTAAAACTCATTGCACATGCCTGCTAATATTTCTGTAGCAGAGGGGTGATATTTTTGTTGTCGTCAGCAAGCAGTGTGAGTCTTCTAAACGCTTCATAATCAATACCAAAATTTTCGAAGCTTTTAGACATTGACGAAACTCACAACGTTGGTACCACGCGAAAGAGCACAGCCGAAAATGGTATATGATCCATAAAAATAAAAATCGATGTCGATCTCACAATCAGGAGTGTTTTTAGCTAATAAGAGCGTCAAATAACATTATCTATCGAAAGAACTCATTTTATCGTATAGCCTTGGCAGAAAAGCTAATAAGAGTGATTGAACCACAGAAAAACAGATGTTTTTGGCGCGCAGTGATCTGGAAGCATTTAAGATTAATCCGAAGAAGTAACGCTCCCCTTTTTGAACTGCACATGGTTTAGTGTGTAGCATATATTTCAGAGTGTTAATGTAGCTCTACAAAAAATTTGCCGAAAGATTGCAGTCTGAATGAAAATGGACCTCTGTTTGCGGTGTTTGTATAATTATGAACCGCTACAAATTCGCATTAGGAGCGAAAACACCCCTTAGATTGACATCCATTTCCATTCTTGTGGAGCGTATACCGTTTCGCCTGTGCCCTTCCACGTGGTACTGGCTTTTTGAGTTAATTCTAAGAAGTTCAGAAACTTCTAAAATTTGGGATGTTCGTATAATTATGAACCGCACTGCATTACAAAGCCAATCTTACTTGTGAATTATCTAATCTGTAATTTTACGGGCCTGACACGGGCGCTGGCGTGGATAAGCTGTATTTGCTTAGCATTGAAGTTTGACAATCCTAAGGCCTGAAATAATCACAAGTTTAAAACGAAAATATTAGGGTGGTCCAAAAGTAATGAGGCACCTATAGAATAAATGCCGTTTTCCAATTTCGAAAAATCAGATGGATGTCCAAGTTTCAGAATGTGCTAGTAAATATCAACTTTATGATTGAGGTTTATAGCTGGGTACTATCGCATGACGTCATTTTTATAAGTGCTCAAAAATTAAAGCCCGTTACTTCAGATAAGTTTAAGCATTGAACAGTACCGCTGCAGTAAAATAAGTGAGACTCTCAAAATATTTGTGCCACAATGGGTGAGCGGATCAAATCTACGATAGCCTGGTGATCCAAACGCTAGAAAAGGTATATCATGGAGTATGAACCTCTTGATCCACTTGATCCGCCTGATGCGCTTTGTGCAAAATGCGCGCTCACTACTTTGTCATTTGTCAGTTAGTCATTTAGAGTCGGCTACAGCGAATTTGCGTAATCATACAAAACCCCTTTTTTACCCACGTGGCGCCAAAGACAAACTAATGAGCGCGCGTTTTGCACGAAACGGATCAAGCGGATTAAGGAGATCAAGCATGGCGCTTCCCTCAGGAGACGCAATATATATTTGTAATGAGTAATGAGAAGAATCACACGTTAGAATCACAGGTTCTTAGGCTTAATGGCAACTTTTAGTTTGGTGACACGCTATGCTGTGAGCCTTGAGTGAAGTAAAGATTATCGATTTGCACAGCCCATCAAGAGTTCTTCAACGTGAAAAATTAGAGGGCGCAATGTATTTTCTGTGTATTTCCGCAAAATCTGCATGCTTGATAGAGAAGGCAGGTAAACGTGCAATCTCCCTCCTCATCAAAAGAACAGATCGGTCTTAGAAGCAAACTAAATGCTATTTAAGATTTGCTGAATTTATCTCTACTACCGTTATCACATCTGCAATTCCACTTGAACTTCAATCTGCCCGATATACACTGTGTGAGTTAAAATGTAGGCTAAACAAAAACATTGCAAAAGCAGATGAATGCTATCAGCGGAGCAAACGAATTTGCGGGAATTATCCTACAAGTTACCTTACTGTTTGCTACATTGTTGCTGTTCTTGAAGAATGCGTTGTTGATATGTCGAGAGAATACTTGTGACTGTACATTTTGGTTTTCGTTAGACGGGAAAAAACGTTAAGTAAAGGCATATCTTTTAATATCTCTATAAGATGCTGCTAGAGGAGGAAGGAAGGAACGAGAGGCACTTTAGGTATGTGTGTAAGGAGGGATATTAACGGAAAAGCGTAAAAGAGTCACAAATTGAAATGACAGTAAAAGGTCTATTAGGTGGCAGCTTTATTCAATCGAATTAACTTCAACTTGGCGTTTTAACTTTACTATGCAAAAATTGGCGACACGGCAATCCTACTTGCACCACCGCTATATGCGATTGGAAGCCTCATTATTCACAATAAGAATAGTCTATCCGAAAAATTTAGAGATTGGGCATACATTGTTCCTAAATCACAATTTTCAATCCCCTGACCGATCTAGATGTCATCACTTTTGAAGAGAAGACCAGGCAGCATGATAAACTGCAGCAGCAGAAGCTCGTCAGCAGCTCAGATGGGGGGACTGGATGCTTTCTACATTGAAAAGAGAACTTCTACGAACGGCGAGTAAACGATAATGGGACGTCATTGAAAAATGAAGTTGCGGAGTTCCAAAGCACCGTCCACCCTAAGTTAGGGGTCTTGAGCTTTTGGTAGCGTATGATAGTAGGGCCCCTTATCAAGCCAATGCCGAAGTCGTAACGCAAAACGTCGCTTCGGAAGCAAGAAAACCGCTTCGGAACAAGAAGATGCACGAGGACCCCCAACAGCACTGCCCTCCCCATCCAAGTCCGCCTATCCGCGCTCAGCCAATCACCGTTTCGGAAATCCGGCTTGCGTGTACTCCGAATGAGGATTGTCGGGGTTTTCGCGGTTTTTCGACCTCGTATTCGGAATCAGAGACCTGCAAAGGCCCCGGAGCGATCAAAACATGGAAGTCGAGAATCTGAGTGAGATTATGTTGTAGAACATCCTGAAGGGCATAAAGCGCTGATTCTCTGTTTCTATATCTTTGAGGTATTTCTGCACGGGGAGTCGTGAGCGTTTGTTGTAGCAAAAAATTAGATGTGTTGTAAGATAAAAGTATTCGTAACAACTTTTCTAAGGCTCAAAGATAAGAGTAAAGATTTCAGAGCACTATAAAGGATATTCGTCGACGACTGCCCCGTTTAGTGCATTTACACCACCGCAGGCGTGCCTCGGGGCCTTTCCAGCTTGACAGTACGCTGCAGCGCGCCGCGACTTCATATCTTGCAGTAACACTGTCCTTTAGCCTCTTTTATTGATTCAAGTATTTCGCATCGTTTTTTCTTCTTATTTTTCATTTCAGGCAATCAACCGTTCTATGCCTACGTGAGACCATCGTCGCGAGCAAACTAGAAAAAAGAATGACCTTATTTGTAGTTGCAGTGGTGGATGTCACAGCTATGATTGGGATTGCATATTTTCAATGTTTTACAATGATTTGATATGTTTCCTGGGACATACCATTGAACTGATTACTTCAACACTCCTACATCAGGGACACCATGTAGGAGTGTTGAAATAAACATTAAAGTGGCCTCATCTAAGGAAACTCCATGATAACCACCACTGTTTATGAACAAAGCACACCCTTTCACCCAACTTTACCCGAGGAGATGTTCACGTTTTGAAAAAGAATGTTTGGTGGGTGAAAAGGGAGAGGAATTCAAGAAATGTGTTCTAAACAAATTTTTTCCTTACCTCTTAGTATTCATCAAAGTAGAACGTAGGACATTTGAACATCGAGAGAACCTAAGAAAAAGGGAAAACGAATGACTGACTGAATTACGTAAACTAAGAAGAAAAAACGATGTGAAATACTTAAATCAACAAAAGAGGCTAAAGGACAGTGTTGCTGCGAGCTACGAAGTCCCGGCGCGCTGCAGCGTACTGTCAAGCTGGAAAGGCTCCAAAGAGGCACGCCTGCGGTGCTGTAAATGCACTAAACGGGGCAGTCGTCAACGAATATCCTTTACTCGACAACTAATTTAATGAGAATTAACCGCTTCGGCGGCCTCATTCAAGCGCCTAGGAAATTTTGAAATTAATTTATCTAAGTTAGGCATGCATTTTTTTTGCACTGAACACGCATAATCCCTCGTTAATAGATGCTTTGCAGATAAGCAAGACATATTTGGGACCAGCGT